TTTTTTTTTTAATATAAACAAGAAACCTTTTGTATCATTATCAGCATGTAATTTTATTGATTCATTAACACCAGTTTGAAGAACATCAAGAATATTTCTTGGAACAATTTTTTGAAGACTTTTTAATAATTGTATAGGTGAATTTGTTGTTTGAGATGATCGTTTATTATTATCTCCTATTAAATAGAATTAAAATTATTTTCAAATTTAAAAAAAAAACAAAAAAACAACGAAACCTGATGATGATGATGGTAATGGAAATGTATTTGACATAGTCACTGTTAAATTTTGTTCTTTATCTTTTTCTTCATCATTTTCATTCGTTACATCATAATGTAATGGTTCAACAGAATTTGTCGGTGGTATTATTTGTGTTCGTTGTGTTACACTTTTTGGATATTCAAGTAATAATTTTACTATTTCTGTATGACCACCTTTAGCTGCTTCAATTAAACAATTTGAACGATCCTTTTGAGAAAAAAAAACAAAATTCATAAATGAAATTTTCCAAAACAAAAAAAACAAAAAATTACTTTAAGAAGATGATTTGGATCAGAACCATGTTTAAGTAATAATGAAGCTACATCAAGATGACCACCGGCACATGCTAATGAAAGAACAGTTGAATCATTACTATTTGTTGCTCGATTAACGTCCGCTCCTTTGAAAAAAAAGTAAAACAAAATAATGATTATTTAGATTTTTATTTTTATTCTTTTATAAACCTTTTGATATTAAATATCGCACTGTACATATATGTCCAGCTCTAGCTGCTTTCATTAATGGTGTACGTCCTTCATTTTCAGCTTGATCAATATGTGCACCGGAATTAAGTAAAATTTCTGCTACTTCACTATGACCACTTTCACATGCATAAGCCAAAGCTAGATTTATTAAAACTTATGTTTTTTATAAAATAGATAAAAAGAAAAACAAATAAAACTACCAGTTTCTCCTGCTGGTGTTGTTTGATTAACATCAGCACCATTTTGTATTAAATATTGTACTAATTCTACATGTCCTTCTTGTGATGCTTCCATAAGAGGAGTTGATTGACCTAAATTAACATTTGCTCCATTGGATAGAAGAATTTTTGCTACATCTAAAAATCCACCAGCACATGCTAATGTTACTAAAATAATAAATTTAATTTATTATTAAATAAAAATATGTATATATATATAATTTATACGTACATGCAGTCTCTTGTGTATCTTCAGTTGTTCGATTAACATCAGCACCTAACAAAAAAAAGTAAGAATAGATTTTTGAATAATAAAAAAAAACAACTTATCAGCACAACTCCTTTGAGGCTAAAATGTAGAATTCATATGTGTTCTTTAGCCTCATTATACTAATATAAAAATTTGTAAAATGAAAAATCTTTAGAAGATTTTAGTTGTTTTTCAAGAATAATCAATTTGTCTTAATTTATTTTTATGTATTTCAAATAGAAATTACTAGTACTCTATTTTCTTTATTTGCCTTGTTGGATTGGTCCCGGATTCTAGTAGTCTGAGAAATATATAGAATACAGTAAGTCACCGAATACAAAACATCTCATATCTTCTGGATGACTATCCATTTTCGATCAAAAAAATTTCATTGAGAGTGTCAAAGTACAGTTACACCAAGTCCAACCTTCAAAAAACTGGGTTCGGACTCGGCCGGCTCTTTTGACGTTTTGAATATAAATTTTTATCTAAACAAAAACTTTTAAAAATACTGTTTGAATTCTGACGAAGGTTTTGGAATATTCTAGAACATTCTACGTCTTATTGTCAATGTTATTCACTATATTTTTCCCGTTGCTAAGGAAATTCGGGGAGAGAGTAGGGTAGCGATTGTCCTTGATTACTATAGAAACGCACCAAACGATCTTTGGCCTTTCTTCACACGTCCCTTTGTTGCTATGAAGGAGAGCGCCGCAAAACTTATATTCATTGGCGTGAATTCCACGAAAAAAAAAAGAAAGTTTATTTTACCTTGTGAAACAAGTAAATTTACAAGATCATCATGTCCTTCTCTACTAGCTATAAATAAGAAAAAAAAAACACTAAAATAATGTTTTTTTTAAATTCAATAACATAACAAACCTTCCATTAATGGTGTATATCCTTCATCATTAACTTCTTCTAAATTAGCACCTCGTTCAATAAGTAACGAAGCTAATTCAATATGACCACCACATGCACTTAATGTTAGTGGACTTTCATAACTATCTGGTGGCATATTTACATCGGCACCATGATCAAGTAACAATTTTGCTACTTGTACATGACCATCCATACATGCTTCCATTAAAGCTAAATATAAATATTTATTTAAGAAACAAAAAAAAAAAAGTTAACTAAAATTTTTCATTAATGTATTTGTTATTGAAAGATAAATCTTCTGGTTTTTTTTAGTATATGAGAGTATAGCTATTGCTTGCTAATTCAAATGACGAAACAGTTAAGCTTTTAACAGATGATGCGAAAGTTTTGTTTATTATTGACTCATCTCTAAATATTCTATGAAAACTCAAGTTTTTCACGAAAGGGTATTTTACATGGATTATAGCTTCTACGAAAGAACTTATAGGTTCATTTTAGGTAAAAGCAACAGTTTAGTGTCTGATATCATCTTCTGTAAACAAATGTTCACTCTAGAAAATTACTAAGTTCAATAATTTTTAGCATATTCACAAAAGGATTTATGTAGTTAAAACCTAGAGATCTCTTAATATTCGTTTGTTTTTTTTTTCTTTAAATATTCTACAATTATTTACCTGTATGCATTTCATCTGTTTTATGTTGTTTACTATCATTCCCATTTTCTATTAAAAAGAAAAGAAGAAATGAAAATGAAAATCCATTTCTCATTATCACATACTATCTTTCGAATCATTCGAAAGTGTATTAACACCAGCACCATGATCAAGTAGTGCTCGAGCAACTTCTACATGACCACCACTAGCTGCTTCCATCTAAAAAAAATACAAAATTTAACATTTATATAAAAATTTTCTTTTTTTTTTTTTGTTTTTGGAAAAATTATTATTTACAAGAGGTGTATGGCCATTTTCATTTGTTTCTTCTACTTTAGCACCATGTTCAAGTAGAAGTCGAACAATATCGGCATAACCCTACAAAAAGAAAATCATCGTAAAATAAATTTTTACTTTTGTGTTTTTTTCGTCTTACTCCTCCTGCTGAATAATGTAATGCCGTATTACCAGATGTTGATTGCATATTTACATTTGCATTATGTTTTAATAAAAGTTCAACTATTTCATAATGACCAGCATTACAAGCTATTCACAAAAAAAAATTAAGAGGTTTTATTTTTAAAAAAAAAAGAATATGTATATCTAACCTTCCATTAATGGTGTACAATCTTGTTTAGTACCTCGATCATTAATATCAACATCAGGTATAGTTGTAAGTAATAATCGTACAAGATCTGTATAACCATTTGAACAAGCAACAGCTAAAACACTATCACCGTCTTCATTAACATCATTTAAATGTTCTTTTCCATTTGTTGTTTGAAGAATTTTTTCAACAGTACGTATATCATTATTCATACATGCACGAACAAATGTTCCTGATCTAAAACAAAAAATAAAAAAAATAAAATAATGTCATAATGTTTTGTTGTTGTTGTATTTCATACGTGTCTTTATTTGTTGATTTCGATTTTTTTTCTTGATGTCCACTTAAATTTATATTTGATGGTGATATAGCATTAGCTATTTCATGTAAACCATTTAAATTATTTGTTACACTACTTGTTAATAAACGTACAACTTGTTGATCACGCCAAAAATCTTCAGGTATAGGAGAATTTGTTATACCAGTAGCTTCAAGTATAGCAGCTAATTTTGCTTGTGTATCAGGATCAATTAAACCAAGATCCATATCATCATTATTATTTGTATTATTTAATAATGCATTTGTTGAATTGGAAGGAAATGGTTCATCATCATCATCGTCATCTTCATCATCACTTGTTTCGACCTAACAAAAAAAACAAATAATTTAAAAAAAAATCAAATTTGATACTCTTACAACTTCATTATCTTCATCATCGTCAGTTAACATTTCGTGATTATGATTTTGATAACGTTTAAGACCAACAGATAATATTGAAACGTCAGTTAAATCTAATGATGTATCGTGATCAGTATTACGTATTAATGATGTTCGTAATGATTGATCAGTTAATGAAGTTGTTGTTGTTGTTGTTGTTCGAGAATTATTGCCTTTCATATGCAAAGAACCATTGTTCATGCTAGAGTATTTAAGAAAACAAGAATAGATTTTTGATTGAACCAATATTTATACATATAAACAAAAAAAAATCTCTAAAGCAAAAAAAAAATAATAATAAATAACAACTCAAATAGTAGTCAATAGAAGAAGGTCAGATGTTTGTTCAGTCACTCTGACGCCGATCGTTTGGTCGGCCCCATATCGAGAGAGACAGAGACAGAGACAGAGGAATGGTATAAGAGATAGAACGGGACGAAGACAGAGAGAAAGAGATGAGATACATACACAAACAGAAGGAACGAAACGAAGGAGGGCAGGCAGAGTAGGGCACCACCACCAATACCATACGACTATGTGATATAACTTGGATTCAAATATGCTTATTTTCAACCATTGACATATTCTTTAGTCAATATGATTGACCATACAAATTAAATTTCGATAATTTAAGAAAAATATATTTAATTAAATGATTTTCTAAATATTTTATTTTATTTTATAGAATTAATAAGAATTTAAACAGATGTCACTAATGATCAATAATACAGAAATATTTGTTTAATTATTTTCTTATTATAATTTAAAACATTTTTCTCCTTCTTTTTTTAACGCAAATTGAACAATAAAGATTACAAAAACACTATATACGATTTAAAAATAAATACCAACATTTTTCTGAAAATCTCTTGTTATCGCCACTAAAATTCAAAAACAAAGATAAAAACTGTGATAGTATGATATAACTTCACTCCTACCTAACAAGACTTCTTTGCCACTTTTTAATGGAAAGATTTCGAGAATATTCAATTAGCTATACTACCATAAAAATCGATTTTATACCATGTCATTATACGGGATAGTTGGAAAAGTAACATAACATGTAAATATTAAATGATGTTTCTAATTGAAAGTTTAGTAGAATTCATTTCTTTTCATTTTTATAATCTACAATAATTAATCTACTTGTTAATAAAGTAATCATCTCGTAAAGACAATTAAAAGTATGTATTTGTAAAGTGAACACCACGCTGTCTCATGAGTACGTGACAAATATTTTACTTTTTATTTTTAGCAAAGTCCCACGAGTTCTTCTATAAATTTTTTTTTCATATAATTACTGTAATGAATTCATGAGTCCTCAATATGGGACTCATGCTTGCAATTTAATAAGTAACTAGATGAAAAATTGTTGACAAGTATACTTCTATATAGCGAAAAAAAAGAATTGCTTGAAATAAGACAAGCAATAAATTGTATGATGAAATACAATATGAAGAAAAGGTTGTTCTTTTTAATTTCTTTCTTTCATTTTCTTTTATTGCACTAGCCGTTATGTTTAGAAAGAATGCAATTTCATTTTTTAAATAGATATTAAAAAGCTTTTTCTACCTAAAGCATAAACTCGTTTGTCACATTTAATTTTTCTTTAACTGTAGAGTTTTGTTAACACCTGTTTTCTTAAATGAGGACTATAGATTCTTCATGGATAGTTTCTATAAACAGTGACTAACAACAAAATTGTTCAACAAGGTTTATTTTCAATTTTTCTTTCCATTACTTCAATCTCTAAAAAAGAATTCGAATAATATTTCGAATAGAAAAAATTATTGATAACAAAAATATTTGAAAAGAAACATGATTAGTGAATTCCTAAAGTCAAAGGTCTTCAAGAAAAACTTCAAACGTAGTTTTTCATCATCTAGAAAACGGTTCCATCATTTTGTTCAGACTAAGTATAACGTTAGAATAAACAATTCTCTATAAAAATGAAATATCTCACTGTCAAACTAACAAATATAAAATATGGGCTACTTAAACCATACATGGACCGAGATGTACAAATTTTAAGGTATTTACATTCTCTATGTCATATGCTCACATTTCAACTTTACAGTAGTGCTTATTTTTCTTTTTTCATCATGATTGAATAGACCTCGACGAATTGCATAAGAAAAAATAATATCACACATATTCAACAGCAATGTTATAGCAAAAGTTCAAGATACCATTATTGTGAAATACAAGGGTAAATGACACAAAATTCTGATTGTTGTAAAATTGCTTTCGAATATGTGTGATATTGATTTTTTTTTTCTTATATAACTAGTCGAGCTCTATTCAACCATGACGAAAAAAAAGAAAAAAACAAATGCTACTGATATTCTGAAATGTAGGCACATGGTATAGAGAAGGTAAATACCTTAAAATTTGCATATCTTGGTCTACGTACGATATGAATAGTTCATATGTTAAATTAATTGGTTTGGCAGTAAAACCATTCATTTGAACAAAAAATCGTAAAATTCTTGAAGACATTTCATTTTGTAGAGAATTGTTTATTCTATCGTTGTACTTAGTTTGGACAACATGACAGTTTCGCGTTCTAGGTTTTTGTTGTAAATAATGTTCTCTATTCGAAATACTATTTGGATTCTTTTTAGTGTTTGAAGCAGCAGAAACAAAGTTTGAAAATAAATCTTGTTAAATAATTGTGGTAGTCACTGTATGTGACAGTATAGCAATTCTAACCTATGCTATAATTAATATCAATTCTAGATTATCGATAGAATACAACACCTGTCACTTTATGGTTCAGAATAGTGTCTCGCATGGGTACAACTTTTCGCAGTCGGTATCCTGTAAAATCGATTAGTATTATTGAATAATTACTTCCACTTGTCACGGATGACACTCAATTCAAAAATCAGTATCGGAGCTAATAAACATAACAGAAATGAATATATATAACAACTCATTGTAACATTATTTTTTAACGTCTTATTCTAATATGTCAAATTGAGATATCTTGATTTCTTATCAGTCGATCTTTATGATTTTGTTTTCAGATAAGATTCCTCTCAGAAGTTCTCACTACTACAGAAAAAACTCAAGGATTATATCTACGATAAATCGTACGATTTTCTTGGTTTAAATTTTGAAAGTTGATAGAATTACAGCAAATGGTCTGTGTTTTTCGAATTTAAGACTGATGATTGGCGTTTATGCCATGATTTTTCTTAGAATTTTTTCTAAATTTTAAATCTACAGTCATTGTTCGATTATCTGTTATATGAAATTAAGAATAATCCAAAGATTGTACAATCCATATAAAACGAATCGGCGTACTATTGAATGAAAGACAATGGATGGGAGATAAAGCCAATAAAGAAAATGAGGAGAAAATTTGATTTTTAAACGAGATTTTTCATATTACTTGACCTACAACTTTCTTACGGTATAGTAATTTGAGATGAAACTTTGATTATTGTATCCATTTATTATGATCTACCATCATTGAAAATACCAGCGTCAGAGAACGTATGTTTGTTGAAAAAAAAAAGAAAAAATAATGTCAATGAGTCACGTAAGATTGCAAATAACACGTATTATATTTCGCAATTACGACCAAAGTAAATATATAAAATATTACTTCAGTTCTTATCTTAGAACCTATCAAAATGACTCGAAACTGATTCTATATTGTTCTCTAAAGAAGCTGTTTAGTGCAGATGACGTCATATTATGAATATATTGTATGAAACATACTATTAGATTTATGTGGTTAAGGTTTATCGAACTTTCAGTCTCAATCGTATATCGTGGCACGTAAATGAAATTTTTTCTACCTATATTCTCAAGTGTTTTTAACGAATTTTGAAAAACTCTTGCATGCTGTTGGTTATTTGTTGTATATGCAGAAAAGTGGTATACAGATATTTCCATGGGTCTTGAACAATTCACATATATTTCAGGAAAATTGATTCTTTTTCTTGTCTCATATAGTACAGTAAAATGCACTATTTACCATCTTTCAAATGGATTTTTGTTTTTCGCTCTTTTCTCAAAACAATACAGTAATATGATCTGATCGAACTTCTTTTTTCACTTTTATATCTATAAATATGTAACAATTTGGCACAATTAATCGTATCATTGATTAGTGTGATGTACGTAGCTGTTGGATAACATCAGGTTGGTAGAGAGTTGTGGGTCTTTCCAGACACAGTACCGCATCGGATGCGCGTTCGACTCAGACAGACCTGTGCCCATATTCAGATTTAATTTTGCATCTGGTTTGTATTCAGCTTCAAGTCTAAATAAAGACCTGATATCAACTTACTCAGGGTATAGAGTGTGGGTGCTGCTCTGCTCTCCACTGTCAGAGCCATGTCCGTACCTTAAGTGTATGCATTGATGAAGTAAACATTGAAATGGTTAATAGTTGTCTTGTTTAAAGATCAAAAGTATCAATTATGATACTAAAACTGATTACATTTCTAAAACAAGTCCGAACTTCCTGTGAAAATTATTGTTTTCAAATAAAACTGTTACATAAAACACTACAAAAATAAATAGTCCTTAACTACAATGATTTTACTCAATTTTCTTACAGATTGGCACAGATACAACGTCTAAAGTGAAGTCTGTCTATATTTTTTTTCCGATTTACCCAAAGTGAGAATCTACCCAGATGCTTTGTTGCAGTGCCCGTATACAGCACAATTACGGTGTCTTTACGACCGTATATGGTTAAATACGAGTCATTTACATACCGTATTTTAATGTAGACTTGTTCCATGATTGTCAACCAGTATTGACGCCGTGTCGTATACGGCATGCTCTACTGCCGAAATCATATGATACTATATAGCCGTATTTTCGTCGTATATACACTCTATTCATATGAGTGTTTTTCTTACTGAAGAAAGGGGTGAATTTCTATTCAAAAAGTTGAATGTTACTCTGTATTACCAAAAAAAAGGCCTTTTAACAGAGAGCAATTAGGTATACAAATGCTTGTATTAGAAACCGGCTTCTAGAGACATTAGGTCATGAATGCTTGCTTGCGCTAGATAGGACTCAAGAGTACCTATTAATTGTCTACAATGACATGGGTGTAGGTGTGAGATGAATGGTGTGGATGTGGGTGTGGGTATGGGTGTGAGTGTGGGATGTGGGATGTGAGTGTGAGTATAAGGTGTCAATTAGGATACGAAGAACCCGCATTGACATCCGGA